CAAAAGGAAAAACAGCCGGTATTCATGTTGTTTAATCTAATAGTACTAGCTTCGCATCTACATTAGCACATATTCTAATAAATTTTTAACAAAAAAATATCTTTTTCTAGATAAATAAATAGATAATGTCAACAAAATCTTCTGCTAATGTTTCGTCAATAAAACGAAAGGTACAAATTGTCCAACAACCTTCACCAATATCATCTCCTACACCATCGAAACAAATTAAAAAAGAGCCAACTATAGAAAAACTTAAGGTTTATATGATCAAAAAATATAATCAATGTATCTTTTAATGTTTATTTCCTTTTTTTAGACTGAACGTCAACATGAAATAACTGAAGATGATATAATACGTTCACGTCTTCTTTATGAAGGTGATCAAGGTATTGATGATCGACGTATATTAACATTAATGAAAACATTCAATAAATATATATTTGATATATCACCAAATTCGGATGATAATAGTTTAGTTATCGAAAAATTACTTTCTTCACTTTATTCTATTGAACATTCACATCGTCTTTTTCAAACAACTTATCTTATGGATGAACGTGAACAATTATGTTATGCTTCGAAAAGTAAACGTATGAATGAACAAATAATACAATTACGTCAAGAACTTGATCAAAGTGAATTACGTTTAACTGAAGCTAAACAGAAACGTTTAAATCTACTTGAATATGATGCACGTGCAGCTACCATTAATAAATTAGGTACACGTCGTGAATTACGTGCACAACAAGCAGCGACATTAGAAAGAAAACATTATTTCGAACATCTACAACAAACATTTGAAGCAACGTAAGATATTTTAATTTTATCATCAAATCAAAGTCTATTGAGTTCTTTATAGTTATCAACAACGATTGAAACAGATTGCTGTTTATATGCGTCCAATATTTGAATTAGATGAAATTTTAAGGCAAGATGCTCATGAAGATAGTCCAACTGAAGGATCAAGTGAATCTCCTGTTGAACAATTAACACAACCATTGACTCCTGTTTTACCAACTACAAAATTTGAAAGACAACGAACAAATTCTGATTCTTCAACAGCTTCAATGGATGCTGATGATACGAATTCAACAGCACGTTCTAAAAGACAACATAAAAATCATTTAGGATTGAATTTCCTATCAAATTCCTTAGCAAATAATCAGCCACAAGCATTATTCTCAACAGAAACAGAACTATTTGGTTCACAACTTGTTAATCCATTGTTATTATTGTCTTCTTCGTCAAATATTTCTTAATTCTATATGATGTTCCTATTCTTTGTTGACTAACACTTACGGATGTTAATCTGATGTTTTTTTTTTCATTAAATAATTACTGTATTTTGATTATGTTTTGTTTTTATATTCCTAGATATTTTATCGTCAGCTGTAGTATACAACTAATGAGCAGAGATATTTTTCGAAGTAGAATGAGTACGTAAGGAAGTAAACTATGAAATAAAGAGAATAGTGTGTGATAAAGATACTGTATTAGGAATATTGTATAAAATTCATTATGATCGTATTTTTTTCTACTTTAGATTTAGAACGAAATGTGGCATTTATGTCGTTCATCATCTCGACCATTAATTGGTGTATGTCATCTATTGATTCGACAACGACAACTTATTCCTATAAAACAAGCAACTCCTCAACGATTAATTTCATTTCCATCTTTCTTTAAAATAAAGAAAAATATACCTGAAACTCTTCCACAACCACCAGTCAATCCACGGCATCCACCAGATTATATTCCACCTCGACCACCTATCGATCCAAATGTATCAAAACCTACGCAATCACAATCCAGTATATTTGCTCGATTTCGTCATGCATATTCAAAATATGGAAAAATTTTATTAGCTGTCCATTTTGTTTCATCATGGGCTTGGTGTGCTGGTCTAATTGCACTTCATTTTAACGGTTTTGATTTAGGTATGAAAATAAATAAACTAAAATCTATCATAATTCATTGCTACTTTTATTTTCTTCATATAGGAATGTATATTATAGATGGTCTTACACACATTAATGTAATTAGTTCAGAACGACGTTTATCATTTATACGTCATATGAATGAGTATTCCGTTTCAGGAATTATATCAAGAATTCCTTTTATCTCACAAGAACGTCTTAATAGTTTAAATGCTTATTGGACGGGAGAACGTGTTCGTTTATTAGCAACAGCTTTATTACTCTATAAGTTTTTAACACCTGTTCGATATGCTTTTACATTAGGTGTAACAACATATATATCTCGTACATTTCTTAAACGCGGACTTCTCAAACGAGCACCACAAGGTGATTCATTGAAAGAACTTTATCGTGATCAAAAACAACTAATTAGAACCGAAGTTCGCCGAACAAGAGATCACCTCAAAACAAGTGTACGACGTGGAAAACAAAAAATTGAATGAATCACGTTTAATTATTGTTTATGTATTTAGAGAATCTATGATTCTTTTGTTTCACTGCTTTCTTCGTCTTTTTTTTTGTTTAAACTTCTATATTAATTCAGCTTTGTGTGAATACATGTAAAGGAGAAAAAATATAGAAAAAAATTGATTGTGTCCATTGGAATTCAAATTTACTTATAAATGATTGTTGTATGTAGGTAATCTATTATTCAAAAGAAATCGATTAAATAGTCTTTTGAGATTTTATTGCATATCAATGCAGTTGCATTTCTCATTTTCTCAAGAAAATAAAACGACTTGAAATCTTTATGAATCTTAATATACGATAGATCGTCAATTTAATAAAAACAAAGTTTAAAATAATATAAAAAGTGAATTTTAATTGTCTGGAGTAGATTTTGGTGCTGTTGTTGAACTTATTTACTTTCTTCTTGTCGTCTAGAAAACATCTTTTGACGAAGATTTATCCAAGCTAATTTTAATTCTTTTCGAAATGCTTTTGTTGTTGCAATATAAATATAAAATGATACTGTCGGATTAATAAAAAGAAGAAATGAACTTGTAATAAAATAAATAAATGATTCAATAGCTTGTCGATCCATACTTTTATTAGTTCGAGCTGTCACTGCAGCATAAACAGTATTTATTGGATATGGTGTTGTTGTTAATATATAAATAAAAACTTGTGCTGTTAACATACGAATTAAATGAAAATCACGTTGACGTATACGATGATTTACTTGTGTACTTGTAGTAGAAATACGAACATGAATTGAATGTAAATTATGTAATGTAATTAAACTGAATATACTCATAAATACTGGCGGAATAATACCTGCAAAGATAAGTGCATAAATACTAAAAATTAGACTATATATACCAGGCATAATACAATAATCTAATTCTATTGTATTCATAATAGGTATATGTATAGTTGCTATAAACCAAATGATAATTGTCATACAACTTAATATTCGTGCTATATGTATTTGACTAAAATTTCGAATAGATACTTGACGCGAAGATACACAAGCTCGATCTATACATGCAATTATAATTAAATAACGTGAAATCATTAATAATGTATGGTATATATAAAGACGTAATTTACAAAAAATTAATGAATATGATGTTAGATTTATTTGTGCAACAGAATAAATACCTGTTGGAATAGAAAATATTATAGCTATCGTATTAGCTATAGATGATATTAATAAATAATGTGAACATGAATTTGATCGAAGTGATTTTTTGAAGAAATACAAAACAATTACATATATTTCCAATAGTACCAAATATAAGAAATATCATCATTGACCACGTCATATTTTGTTGAACTTGTATCAAATTATAAGATAGTGACGATATATTAATACTATTGTTCATTGTTGATTGAGACGTTTAGTTTTGTGCTTCAAATAATAACGTTACTTAACTTATATATAGTCATGATAATATTAGAATTATATGAGTGCATATCATTTGATGATAATTAGGAATAGTTGACTTCATGATATTCTTTATAAAGAAGATTATATAGAATATTGAGTACAATACTTTTAATCGAGAAAATAAACATAAGTTTATCATACTTAACTATGTGATATGTTTCACCTGAATTCATTATACGGGTTAATTTGTTAGAAAATAAATATTTGTCTACGAAAGATTTTGTTGTTATAATTTAGCTCACAGTGAAAAATATTTTTAATTTATTTTATTTATATGCGATACTGACGCAAGTGTAGATTTTGGTTGATATTTATAATACTCAGATGAAGAAACACGCTAGATGTTTTCAAGCTAATTTGCTCCTAATTAACGTTAATCTTGAATAGGCTATAAACCATCAGACGGTAAGCAATAACTGTCTATAAGAGAAAGAGACTTGCACTTTATTTAGCATTACTTTACAACTCTTTGCTCTGAGTTTTCTATATCATGCTGGTAAAATTTGTTCATTTATTAAAGATATTAAGATCAAATATTACATTAATGGTACGATGATAATTCATCGAAAGACGTATGATTTATATTAAAAACTATTGCACTCCATAGTATATCTGTGAAAAACAAAACTTTTCCCAAACTATTGTTGTTATTAAGTTTAAAATCTCACGTATTCTATTCTCGAGTACGGGTACTGATAAACCCGTACTCGAGTACGAGTCCGAGTCTGAGTATCGGCAAATGCGTACTGAAGTACGAATACTTTAAGTATTTTGCCTGCAACAATTTCCAACTGTCAACAAATAATTTTCGTATCTTCTTTTTTGTATTATCTGCGAAAGCATTGTCTCTTAATTACATTGGCAAAACATTCTTTTGAACACACAATAATTATAATAAAAAAAGAAGTTATTTTTCTATCGGAAAATCACTAATCTTTATTGCTTTAAATAAATATAAAAAAGAAAGAAGAATATATCGATTATCGTTTTAAATCGCATCTGAATTCATAAATAATTGACATCAATAGAAAAAAGTTACAACACATTAGTCAAAGAAAGTGAATATTCTACGTAAATAAAGGAAAAAAAATATCGTCTGGTTTCTATTTAAAAAAAATATATCTTTTTGTTCAAGTAACCGGTCGACGACAATTTTCACATGAACTCATTATATGTGCATCATATGGTTCGACTTGTATTGTCATTCGAGCAATGGAATGTTCATGACGAAGCATTTCTTGAGCTTGACTTAGAACTGTTAAATAATCTCGATCAGAATCTAAAGATAAACAATATGTCTAGTATTTCAAAAGAAACAAAACAGAATGTTAAATATTATGTACCAATTGCAATATGAACGGAGAGAGCTGTTCTTTGTAATGATAATGACCATATATGTAAACTATGTGCATCTCGTACGCCAGGTATTCGAAGAAGATCATCAACTACTTGTGCATAATTAATATTGGACGGAACACCTAATATATAATATAATTAGACAAAATTCAATGGATAAAGTTTTATGTGCAAATTACCTTCCATAAGAACCAAAATAATATCACGCATTATAGTTATTGTTGTAATAAGAACAAGGACGGAGAAGACAAAAGTACAGATAGGATCAGCTAGTTTATATTCCGGCTAGTAAAAAATGAAAAAGGAATATATTAACAAATAAAATTTATTTATAATGAAAAATATATACCTTAAATTTAATCAATATTGCAGCACAAAGAACACCAACACTTTGAACAAAATCACCAATAACATGAATAATTGCGGCTCGAATATTGATATTTGTTGTTGGTTTTTTATGTTTTACAATTTGATCTCCAACTTGACCAACTATTATATCAGCAACTATTGGTTCAGTATTAATAATTGTACTTGTACTATCATGACTGTCATTATGTGAATGTGAATGTCCATGATGGTGCCCTCCATGTGAATGACCATGATGAGGTACAGATGTACCACACATATTAGCATGTAATGTAAAAAACATTCTTGAAAAATGAATTAAAAAGGAAAATTTGTTAGTTTTTCAATAAAAATGAATTTCTAGACCATACCTACATGATATTGAATACAACGCCACATGATGCGACAATAATCATCTCTAGTGGTTTGACTTCAAACTGCTGGTAGATACAACGTTCAATAGCCATATAAACAAGTACTCCAGTAACTAACCAAATTGTTAATACACTTAGAAGAGCACCAAGTACCTCTAATAAATAAAATAATGAAGAATAAATTAAATTAATAGATAAATATAAACCTGCTCGAATATAACCAAATGAGAGTTTTCTTGTTGGTCGTTTTCTTGCAAGATACATTGCTGTTAATGATATTAGAAAACTAGCACAATCAATGCCCATATGAGCAGCATCAGTTACAACAGCTGTTGAATTGGAAAGAACGCCTCCTACATATACATGATATTTTTAATTTCTTTTTCTTAGTTTTAATCCATGAACATACCAACGATTTCAATGATCATAAAAATAATACAAATAAATAGTACAAGAATAAGACGATTTCTTGCACCATAATCAAATTTATCGTCTGGTACATGGCAATGAATTGATGGTGAAAGTGATTGGTTTGATAGAAGCTCGTCTCTTATTACTGATGAATTATCAGTACGATATAACAATGGTGTTCTAGCATCAACACCATCATTCGCTAATAAAAGGCTATCATCCGATGCATTGCCATCAGTTTGGCTACGTCTAATGTGCTGATCTTGACTATAAATATTCATCTTTGATGT